GTGACTAGTGTCATTAAGAATGATTCAAACCAGAATACAAACAATACACTTCTCTACAGACTCTTGCATGTGAATTACAAGGGGTGCATAAGGGGGTCCAAAAAACAAACAAACAAACAAAATAAGAAAACAGGCACACAAGAATTTCCTTTCAGTCTTAGTTTTGATGATGTCACCAGCCATACAGTATTTGTTTTTAATTTAGATGAAACCACGCTCAGCTATAAGAATGTCTTTGTAAAGAAGGGGTAAAAATTTTAGGTGTACATTTTACGTATGACGATACAGAAAGTTATAAACAAAACTTTGAACGTATCTATACAAACTTTGTAACAACTTTGWATATATGGAAAACGAGAAACCTTACGATAATTGGAAAAATTCAAGTATTGAAGGCTTTGGCATTACCTAAACTCTACTATATCTGCTCACAACTCTGCCCAAGAAAGGAATTCGTAAAATCTATTGAGGATAAATTGAAAGATTTTATATGGAACGGTAAGAAACCAAAAATCAAGCATAAAACTTTAATAGCAGACTATGAAGAAGGTGGTCTTAAAATGATAGATTTTCCAAGTTTCCTAGAAGCATTAAAAATTAAAAGAATTCTCGATATAATTAGGAATCCAGACGCCTTGTCAAATTGCATACCTTCCTTATACCTCAATCACATAGGTGGTTTTAAGCAAATAAATCAAAACTTTGACAAAAAAAGAATCCCGGAGAACTTACCCGGCATATATAAGGAATGTTTGTTTGAAAATTCAACTCGCAATGAAAACCAGTACATCTGGAATAATAAAAAAATTCAAATCAATGGTAAATCGGTGTTCTATAAAGCTTTCTCCGATCTTGACATAAATAGAATTGCTGATCTCTGTAATGATAAAGGAGAATTCAATTGGGAACACGCACAAAATATTGGCCTTAAAAATACTGATTTTTTAAAATGGGCAGGTTTGATAGATGCAATACCCGCGGAATCGAAAAAACATTTTAGAGATATAAATTCAGAAAAATTACAAACTATAAAAAGCGAATCAAAATTTTATCCAATTCTGTCGAAAAAACTTTCTTTAATGACTAAAACAGCACAAATCTATAAACAGATATTAAGCAATAAAGTGGAATCCCCAACATCCCAAGAAAATATAACCAAACGATTATCTCAAGATATCAATACAACCCAGTTTGAATGGAAAAACGTTTATAGAAGAACATTCACAACGACAATTGATTCCTATCTTCAAACATTCCAATATAAGATCTTAAATAACTGTCTATACCTCAATTACGACCTATGTCGATTTAAATTAGTACCATACTCCTCTTGTTCTTTTTGTATGACACATCCAGAGACTATTGACCATTTTTTTGTAGAATGTATTGAGACTAAAAATTATTATTTTGAAATTCGAAATTGGCTTGAAAAACACGACATTTTTTTGCCCCAAATGAATATTTTCAATATAATTTTAGGTACCGAAAAGAATACTACTAATTTTGTTATTCTTATATTTAAACTATCCCTGTACAAAGCAAGAGAACACGGAAAAATTCCATCACTAAGGTCCTTTGTAAATACCCTAAAACACTATGAGAAGATTGAATATAGAATTGCAGTGAACAAAGGAAAAATGCCTCAACATTTACAAAAGTGGCAAAAATTAAAAAAAGCTATAGATATATTCGATTTTTAGTACAATCATGACTGTATTTCTTTTATTTGTTGTTGTAGTTGTTTTCCTTTTGTAGTTGTGTGCTATTTGTTTTTGAAAAATTATGTAATGAAAAGAATAATACACTATTTACATGTAAAATATATCAAATATACTTSTAGAGTTAGTGCTATATCAGTACCTAACTCATTAATTGTAAATATCTGTATTTAACTCATTAACTTCAAATAAATAAATAAAGTTGTAAAAAATGAAATACGTTTTAGGTGAGAAATAAATGATGTTTTCACCCT